TGTTCTAGGACCCACTTGTTTGTCCTTTTGGCTGTCTATGGGATCCTCTTCTCCAGCACTACATTTCAAAGGAGTTGATTTTCTTCCTGTCATCTTTCTTAACTGTCTAGCTCTCACATTCATACATGGTAATAGGGAATACGATGACTTATATTATTCTAACTTTTGTTCTGAGTTGTATATCTTTGCATTTTAGAATCTTTTCTAGTTCTTTCATAGCCACCCTCCCCATTCTTAGTCTTCTTCTGATTTCCTGACTGCAGTCCCATCTCTATCAATGCTTGATTCCAGATATATTTCCATTTCTTCATTGTCTAAGTTCAACTTATGAAGGTCCTTGGTGGTCATTATTTTTGTTTTATTCATGTTCATTTATTTGTTTATTTATATGTTTATTTATTGCAAGCTTTGTTCTTCATCTTTGGGTGATGAATAAATAGCCACATTACTCAGAGACAGTAGAAAAAACAAATTAGCTGGTTGCAGGTATGTTTTCTTTTAAAAACAAGCAATAAATATGCAATGATTAAAAAGCCTGCTCATCTAGGCCTACAGTTAAGACTATCTGAAGTTGGCTCACATTCCATAAAGCTAGAGTGCCTTTGACAGACATTGTCCATGACCAGGACTGATGACACAGACTACGTTTCATTATATCTTACCCTCTCTGCCCATACACTTTGCCTTGGCCTTTCAGGTCCAAATCCAGATCGGGACCAGCCAAGTTGCTCCATTTCACCTTGGACCTCTATTGCCTAACAAAGCCACTCAGCCTTACCATAGTGCTAGACCAGGGGTAGGCAACCTAAGGCCCGGGGGCTGGATGCGGTCCGCCGAGGCCTTTGGACTGGCCCCAGGCCGGTCCTGCCGCCGCCGCCGCCCCCTGCCGTTGCCACCGCCCACCATGATGATATTGATTATTGTTGTTATTACTTGTTCATGGGGTGTTCTTGGCAAAATCTCCACAGGGGTTTTGCCATGGCTTTTCTGGGGCTGAGAGAGTGTGCATGCATATTTTTTAAATGTTTTAATTTGTTTTTTAAATTGTTATTTATTTATCTATTTATTTATTTATTTATTTATTTATTTTTGGTGCTTCGGCCCCCCAATTGTCTGAGGGACAGCAACCCGGGCCCCAGCTCAAAAAGGTTGCCTACCCCTGTGCTAGACAAAGGAGTAGCTGCTGGCTTCCATCTCAGTGGGCTGATGAATCTAGTCCAGGTTTTAGTATGAATTTTAAAGAAGCCATCCAAGGTACTGAAATCTATCACTCAAGTATGTCCAGCATATAGAGAGCTCCTTTAGAGTGGATTCCCCTTCATCCTGACATGGAAGCCACCAGCTTCCACTGGCTAGATTAATTCTCCTGTGAGAAGACCTGTACCTTTTTGTTGCTTAGATGTCATTTTTATTTTATTTAAATTTTTAAAGCATATAATGGCAGAACCTATTTTTATTTTGCAATGGCTTAATTAAAGGGGAGCTACCATACCTCTTTCTTTAAAAAGTAAATTAAACCCACATATCCTTCTTCAAGACATGTAACTGATTGCTAAGATCACAAAAATGCTGATTCTCCTGGCCAGTCCAATCACCAATTTCTACTGAAGAAATCAATAACACACATCTGTCAAGATGATTTATATATGTTTAGGTTAGGACAGATGTCCAAAATCTTTGATGGAAACTTCTCATCTACAGAAATTATCCCACAGCAGTCTTCTAAATCACAGGAAGAGAATGGTTAAATTCTTGAATGTTGAAGTTCAAATGAATTATCAGCATGAATGAATGAAAAGAGCCTCTACACAGCTGCACTGTAAACACCGGGAGGAAAACAGCTGATATAGCAAGCATCAAAGACTTGTACAGCTAGTGACCCTCCTCTAGGCAAAGGCAGAGTGATCCTAGCTGAAGCCCTAGTGCTGAATGCAAAGAAAATAAAGACTGTGATGACTAAATTAACAGGCTTGCACATTTTTTAATCCTTGAGAAGCAGACCGTAAAAGCTGGCATTGAGTCTGTAAACTTGCATAACTCCCAAGAACTGAAGCAGGGGTTTTTATAATGAATCTCTACCATCACTTTTATAGGAAAATGGCACTATTGAGTAATATTTCCCTGAAATTCTTCTATTAGTGCCTTTATCAGTATTTCTTCTGACCTCCAACAGAACCATGGAATTTCTATATTGTTTCTCCATTTTTATATTTTTGTGTAACAGTACATTATATAAAAACATTATTCTATTTAATTTTGTATTTCTGAGTAATACTTGGAAGTATTCTAATTATTTCAATGGGGATTGCCTTCAAGTAAGAGAGTGTAAGATTTCAGTCTTCTCTTAAAAACCAACTTGGTGTCAGACATCCTAACCCCAATAAGCAATTCAGAGAGAAAATATATGAATTTGAAAAATTAAACATTTTTCACTTCATTCAGCTGATGAAATGACAAAGTCTAAAATTCTCCAGTCTTTAAGATTTCTGCTTAAATATTTTACTGCATACTGAGAAAAGTGCAAGCATTAATTTTAGCTTTCAGACACCCAAAAGTTCTGTGACACCACTGCAACCTTTTTAAACTAACATCAAGTTATGGAAGATAAGAAATTCAGTGTTTCCCTAGACACTGGATTTCATATGCTTCCCCCACCCCACTCAGTCTAATCAAACCAATTTGCATCTGCAGTGTTCAATGGCCACTATTTTACATAATTCTCTACCCCTTTTCATGATTTCATGCCCATTACACAAAATCTCATTGCCTCGTTATCCATACTTTTCACTCTCCTACCACACACTGAGAGTGGTAGGAGGTCAGAGTGATGTAGTGGTTTGAGCACTGGACAACGGCTCTGGAGACCATGGTTTGAATTCCCGATCACCCATGGAAATCCATTGGGTGACCTAAGGCAAATCACACTCTCTCAGTCTCAGAGGAAGGAAAAGGCAAACCCTCCTTACACAAATCATGCCAAGCAATCCCTGTAACAAGTTCTCCTTAGGGCCACCATAAATCAGAAACGACTTGAAGGCACACAACAAACGTCGCCACATCTTGCCAAAATGTTTAAAAAACAAATTCTGCCTCTTCACTCCTAAATGACAGTCCAGGTTAAAATAAAACCTAGCAAAACATGTATGATGTACATACTTGATGCATGAGTACATACATTATTGTATGAGTATATACATTAACAATTTTTAAATTTAATTTTAATGTTCCAAATAATGATTTTAAGAACTGGTTTTAAATTACTTTGCCTAGGGATTTTTCCATCCAGTGGGCACACACTTCTGGAGATGAATCCTCAACTGAGGCATGGGGTCCTGGGTTTTGTGACAACAGATACAAAATGATGCATGCAGAAAATAACAGGTGGGAAGGAGAAAAAGAATGTGGAATGGGACACTGCAGTTTGTCCTGGAAGAGGGTTGAAACAATCCATGAAAGACCTCAGAAGAAACATTCTGAATCTGAGTCCATTAAATGAAGAGCTGGCCTGCTTACACATCTGACAAATCTCCAGCAACAATCATCTTGAAGAAGACCTTACACATGGTGAGAGAAGATGTAAAGGCCCCGCACATCACTCTTCACAAGGACAGTCCAGAAAATACTTTCTCATGTTAATCATTTCCTCCTGAGCATGAATATACACTCACCTCGGGGTCTTTTTCAAAAGTCCATCCCTGCTTCCTCTCCCTCCCCCAACCCTGCACAAATTCACTTCTCATGAGACTGAAATGAAGGCAGCTGCCAAATCACAGCAGATGCACAATGAATTGGTTCCAAAGTGGGAATGAATTTTGACAAGATGACATCAACTTCAAAATGTTCTCTCTACTTGTGCAGTTCCCACACCCTCCCCCTAGTTGTCCACCTGGTTATTACTTTGTAGATGATGGGTTGAAGTGCTTTGCCACAGAGAATGTGGACAATAAATTTGGTGCTAGTTGTCTAAATACACACTGAATTATAACATATATAAAACACATACTGGATAATAACATATAACGTTATGTAATGTATAACATATAAAATCCATACTTGATTATGACATATGTTATATAACATATTATACATATATATATATATATATATATATATATATATATATAATGCATACTGAATTGTAACATAATGTTACATAACATATTGTTGTGTGCCTTCAAGTCATTTCCAACTTATGGCGACGCTAAGGCTGGCAAGATTTGTTCAGAGGAGGTTTGCCATTGCCTTCCCTTGAGGCTGAGAGCATGTGCCTCAGCCAGTGGGTTTCATGGCCAAGCAGGGAATCAAACCCTGGTCTCCAGAGTCATAGACCAACATTCAAACCACTACGACACACTGGCCCTAAACATATAACATATATAATGATATATGCCTTAAATGTGGTTTTATTTTTTTTTCTGATTAATTGTATTTTCACTTTTGTATCTTGTGGATTTTTCACAATGTCAGTTTTGTTTCAATTTTAAATTGCTTTGAGTCCCAATCTGGAAAAAAGTGGGATAAAAATAAATATCACAACAACAACAACAATAATAATGATGATGTTTTGGCATAGGGGTTAGCAGTGGTCTTCTCTCCCAAACCTTGGCCCCAACATAACAAAGGAAAAAAGAAGCTATTTATTTTACACATCAAAACCAGAAAACAGAACTGTCATAGACTCAATATAGACAACTGAATCATGGTTTCCTAATCCAGAGTATGTACAAGCTCCATGAAGTTGCACGCAACCCCTTTGTGGGGGCTTTTGATTTCCATGCAAGCGAGAGATGTTGGGAAGCGATAATTAGCCACAACTTCCCATTATGTACCAACAGAAACAATGTTAACCATATCCAAATAAGCTGTGGTTTCAGGAATACAAAAATAAATATGAATTTAAGTCCATTTTGGGGAAAAATTAAAACGAGGTGGAAATTATATGAAACTGAATTTATATGAAACTGCCACTGGCAACAAATCTTCCACCCATACTGGAAGATAATATATAAGTCCCCTGACAGTATTTTGATTGGATTATAAGGTCCAAAACACATTGCAGAAAATAAAAATCCAGTTTGAGACTACTTTAACAGCCCTGGCTCAATGCTAGGGAATTTTAGGAACTATAGTTTTGAGAGAGATTTAACCTTCTCTATCAGAGAGCTCTGGTGCCACAATAAACTACAACTCTCAGGATTTCCTAGCACTTAGTCAGGGCAGTTAAAGTGGTCTCAAACTGGATTATTTCTGCAGTGTGTTTTGGACCTAAGAAAACTTTCCTCAGACAGACAAAGCACCATTAGAATTTTGGTTGGGAACCTGTAGCCTTCCGGATGTTGTTGTACACCACCTCTCACTAGCCTAGCCAACATGACCAATTTTCAGGTATTATGAGAGTCCAATAACATTTGGAGGGATAATCTTTCCCAGCCTCTGCATTAAAAGGCCATCAGATAAAAGCTGCCAGGTCTCTTGTCATAGAAGTTCTAGGAACAAAGGACTGGGCCACAGAGAATTCATTGTCTCCCTTCCAGCTCTATGGTTGAACGCTACAAATAATATCAACTAAGGAAACACACCTCTCATTTTGGATCTAAACAGTTAGATCAAACAACTTAGAATTAAATATTCTGGGAAACACTGCTTCACATCTGCATATAAAAAGGCAAACTTTTCCTAAGGAATTTAGGAAAATTGTCAAATTGAAACTCTTTAGACTACAGTTCTTGAGTCAACCTGCCTATGAGTAGCCAGAAAACTTCAGAACAGAATGTGGGAGTGTAGGTTTCCGAAATGTTCTATCCACAGCATCCCAGTGGCTCTTAAATTTTCTCTCACTGATATAGTAACTACTGAGAGCATATCTAAAGAAAATTGAAGGAGAAGGCAAGTGTCAATATGTTATAACAATTATAATATTAGATTAGTCCAGCACTGCATAAACTGGCCCAGATGTTTTCAACTGCAATTCCCACAACTCAGAGCCAATTTTTGGCTAATGGATGAGGACTGTGGCAGTTGCAGACCAAAACACCTGGAGGATGCCAGGTTGAGAAAGGCTGAAATAGTCCCATTATCACTGACCACATGGGGCAGGTTTGTGTGGCAATGATCACAAGGGATTTCTCAATGAATGGAAGACCTGCCCACTTACAGTGGTATGTGGGTCAAGCCTTGTTCATACTTTCAGCTGAAACAGAACTTGGGAAACGTATTTTTCAACTATTATTTATTTTCTTTATTATTTTATTTCATTTCTGCCATTGGACTACTGGAATCTCTCAGCCAGTATTGGCTACTGGCCATGGCAGCTGGGAGATTCTGAGAGCTGTAGTCCAAAAAAGTAATTTTTTCCAAGTTCAGTGCTAGGCTAGGAGACATCACCTTAATCAATGGAATTCAGTGAACACGGTCTGAAAATGAGAATAAGGGAAAGGTGAATAAGGCTTCTGATTGAGAAAACCTGAGTACAAACTCTTCTCAGCAATGGATTACTCCCTCTCTGTCTCACTGACTCCACAGGAACATTGAGGAGATAAACATGAGCTCCATCCCAAGCTCCTTGAAAAACAGGTGGAATTAAAATGCAATAAGTAGTTACGTACATAAAGGCTCTGCTAAATTGACCATCCAGGTTCTTATATAATCTGAAACAAATAAATACACATATATAACAAAACAGGACAGACACGTTCGCCTGCATGCATTGGATCTTGTATAAAAACCAAGAATAAAAAGCTTCTTAATTTAAAAAAAACCACTAAGTACTCCATGAAATCACAAAAACATGAATAATTTCATTAACATGGTTCAAAGCTGTGACATAAAATTAGTTCTAAGATTAGAAACAAAACTTTGCAAAACGTGTTTGAAGTATTTTGAGCGAGGCATTAAAACCCATCAGTTATTTACAGATCAAAGAAGCTCCAAGTGTCCTGGAACAATCAGAGTGAGAAATGCCAAAATCTGATTTCATCCATGTCCACATGTTTCTTTGAACTTGTAATTCAGAGAATTGGTCAGTGTATTGAACTAATTATCATGCTTAACGCTTGCCAATTCTGATGGCTGTGATCCTTTCTTGCAAGAAAAGGAATGAAAAGAGAGACAAGAGGAAAGAGATGTGGCCATCTGTGATGGGGGTCTGGGAGAAGGGCACATGCAAAGGCATGATCACATACACAAACACATAAAGACACGTCATTCTTTTGAGAGAAAGAACTTTTTCCATAGAGATTATGTAACACTGGCAGACTACTCTTCCTATTAGTCCTCCTTGAAGAAATTATCATATGTGGCATTTTCCTAAAGGGAAATTTGCTCAAGCACCAGCCAAGAAACTCAACAATTCCCATGATCACAGACTTCAAATTTTGTACTTATACTACTACAGGCTGAGTCCTGTATCTGGAATTCTGAACTCCAAAATACTCCAAACACCAAAACTTTTTTCATGCATGGCTGAGATAGTTACACTTTTGCTTTCTGATAGTTCAGTATACACAAACTGTGTTTTCATTCACAAAATTATTCAAAAACATTGTATAAAGATACCGTCAGGTTATTATGTGTATAAAGAGTATATGAAACATAAATGAATTCTGTGTTTACACTTGGGCTCCATCTCCAAGAAATCTCATTATAACCAGGAATGGTTCTTAATATAGATGTATATTTTTCTGATTTTAACTTTAGTATGATTTTTAATCAATTTTACAATGTTTTCATGTTGGGGGGTTTAAATTGGTTTTAAAACTTTTTGTAAACGTTTTTAATTTGTTGTCCTGGAAGCCACCTTGAGTCCTATCCTGGGAGAAAGGCAGCATATAAATAAACAAACAAACAAACAAACAAACAGGTATTCCAAAATCCAAAAACAAAATGAGAAATCCCAAACACTTCTGTATCCATGCATTTTGGGTAAGGGCTATTCAACTTGTATTAGCAATCATACAGGTTGAAATCCCCCAAATCTAAAAATCAAGTTTTCTAAACTCTGCCTAGAAGCCAAGGTCATCTATGAGGCTGCATGGCGAGGAATTCAGAGCAGATAAAAGAAAACACTCATTTACATTGTGCATAACCAAACTGGCAAATTTGCTACCACAAGATGCAGTGACAGTCATCAACATGGGTGAGTTAAAAGGAGAACTATTGTGGTGTAGTCCTTTCAGTGTTAGACCAGGAGGATGAAGGTTCAAGGTCTCATTGAGCCATGAAATTCATTGTGGGTCCTTGGGCCAGTTACTCCTTCTCAGCTGACCTACCTCACAGGGAGGAAAGGCATGTACAAAACCTTGAACTCACCACGTGAAAGGCCGCATGTAATAAATAAATAGGAAGAATTATGGAGGATAAAGCTACTAAAGGTTACTAGGCATGATGACTATGTTTAACCTCCAGTGTAGACAAGGCAGCATGCAGCACAAGTAGGAGGGAATGTTCTGCCCTTGGACATTTCTTGGGCATCTTCCTTGCCCTACTTTCAACTCTAAAAGCCTTTGGTACTTCTACTGATGATACTTCTGGTGTATGTTCCATCTTCAACTCCATATTGGACATATGCTCAAGAACAGTCTTCTTGCATGTTATCTCTTCTTGGATCCTCTGACTTGGGAGGAGAGATGTTACAGATAAGAGGGCACCTTTTAATGGATCAGTTCAGGGTTTCTTTCCATTCCTTGACAATGGTGAAAGTGGGAAGTCAGAAAGCAGCTACCAACCCTAAATGAAGTAGTTGTATTAAATTAAACAGTTTGCCTAGACTTAAAAAAATGTTTTGAGTTCCTAGTAAGTTGAACACGTATAAAACATTCTGAGCCATGTTCCAAATCCTCTTTACATACTCTATTGATATAATACCAGCTAGAACATCAGAATAAGATACAAAGAACAAGCATGACATGCATAGTTTGTAAATAGTGCTTGCTACCGTATTTTTTGGCATATAAGACGCATTTTTTCTTCCCCAAAAT